GGCTGTGCCGCCTCCGTCGCGGTTACATCTCATGTCGGACGCCGAAAAATGGAGCCTAAATATTTTGGTTTGAATGTGATGTTTTGGGTGGGGGTTAGACATCTGCAAGCAGGCTAACAACTTCATGTTCTTTGCGAAATGTGAATTTTAATCTGAGAAGCGTTTCAGAAGTAGTCACGGTTTTTGCCGACGCGTTTTCTGTCCTCGGGTCAGCCGGCAGCTTAAAAACCCATCCCGTCAGTGTGCTGTCACAGCGTGGTGCGAGGACTTTGACCGCCCGCCTGTTGTTGTCTGGCTTCTGTAGCATTCGTGCTCAATTGTATCAGAAAATCCTGTTAAAATCTAAGCGCAGTTCCAGCAACTGTATGTTCTTGGTGTTCTGGCGTTGGTGTTGAAATTGCAGCTATGGAAAGCGGGGTGTTTACTTAGCTGCATTTTCGGGGAAAGTGTATGACTCTCCAGCTGTGGGAAGCTGCCTGCCCTTAATACAAGGTTAATAATACAAGGTTTTGTTCGGTATCAACCTAAGAGGGGTTGTAGAGAGGACTCTGCTAATTAGAATGAGAATGTGGACTAGGCGTGACAAGCATCCTGTCCAAATTACGTTTGGATTAAGAGCCTTGATAGCCTTTTTGAAACAATATACATTCACAACAGTTTCTGTGTATTTCTTCCGAAACAGACCTTCTCACTCCTACGTCGCCCTATTTGGGGCTGCTTTTTTTTCCCCACTGGTTACAATGAAACTAGTGTCTCGGTGCACTAAGTTCTGTGATGGAGCCGATTTAAGAACTTTCTGGATGGTTTCTTTTGCATTACAGCTCTCTGCTCCTTTGGTGGTTCCCTTTTATTTTCTGCGTAACTGTACTGTGATTGGAGGCACTGAGATAATGCTTTTTAAAATACTGACTGTATGTTTAACCTGGACTATTTCAGTGATCATACCCTCCTAATTTGGAGGAGGGGGAGAATATAAGTTTCAAAGTGAAGATTTTTTTGCACATGTAACCTAGAATTAATACTACTTGCATCTTCTCTAGAAAGCTCCTAGACACAGATTACAGCTTCAAGTATAGTTTGAGAGTAGTTCTAACTTATGGAAGCCCATGTCACCATCTTATTCGAGTGCCTTGTGTGTTTTCAAAGAGCTCATCAGGGATAAGGTTTGTTGCAGTCCAAAAGACAGCTCTGTGAGCTCTCTGTTGTGACTGCATGGCTTGTGCCCATAACACCTGTCCTCTAAGCTTTTGTGGGGGTACTGAGAAGTAACTGGAGAAATAACTTAGTCCTCCATGAGTTGAAATGCAGCAAGTCTGTGTACTGGTGTAAAAGGCAAAATGGGCTTAACTGCTTTAATCTTTTGAATAAGCATACATGCAGTCAATTCTTGCACTTTCTCTAATAAAAGGCTTTGTGTTTGCTTTCATTTATTGTTTTAACTCCTGGTAATTTTACTTTTTATTGGTAGGTGCTGACTGAGATCTTGTCTCTAAATGTCTTCTTCAAGAAGACTTTCTGCAGTAGTGTAACTTCCATAGTAAATTGGTCAGTCACATAGGCAGGAAACCCTTAACATCAAACATTTCCCAAGTGTGTCAAATATGGTAACTTTGTGCAAAGAGCAGTAGTATTACAAGTCACATATAATGGTATTCTTGCTTACAGGCCTTTATAAACAACTTCATTTACATATTTCTTTATCAAGTGTCCCTTTCTTTGTACTAAGTTTGGGAGAGGTTCTGCTCACTGTTCTTGTTTTGGTGGCAGTATTAGATATGTTTGATGTTGTTTGATGAATAATCAGACTGTTTCTCTATTCCTTAGCAGAGACTACCTATCACTTCATTTAAAGGTAGCATAGCAGTGTAGAAAAGTTTAACTGTAGTGATTCAAGCTAAGTTACCATCCACCCTTTGTCTCTTAGAGCCTTTTTTCCCCTCTTATTTAAAAAAAAAAAAAAATCTTGGCACCTGTGGGAGAAATGCCCAACTAATTTTCTGCTGATAGGCAGCATTTCAGGTGGACTCCTATTAGTTTTGCACCAAAAGATGCAAAGATTTAGTTTGATCTTGTGTAATACTAGCACATTTTAAGTTATTTGGGAATTCTGAATATTGTCTTGGTGTCCTGCAGACAGGCAAGAAACCTCCTAATTCCGTGAGGGAAGAGGAAGAACTTTAAGATTTACTTTTAAGCAGAAACTTTTACAGAGCAGTAATTTCGGCCATAACGTCTCTTCCCAGCTCTGCTGGATAGCTAGGTACTTTCAGTTCTAAACCATCTGTGTGGCTTTTTGACAAATAATAGTCACAGGAGAGTTGTTAAGTTGACAGTGTCATCTTATATCCAACTCCACCAGCTTCTTTCTGCTTAAAACATCTGGGGGTGGACTGTGATAATCTCTTTGATTTCACTTCCTCACTGAAGTCCTTTGAGACTTACCCTTGATATGTAAGGATATAGTTTGACAGCTGACGCTCAGTGGCAGTGCTGGCTTAGAAGCAGTTCCTATCCCTTCAGTTATACCAACAAGCCGAAAACAAAATAGGGAGTTGAGGGTGTCAAATCTGATTTAGATGTCTGTGTGTCCTGACCGCTAGTTGTGCTGGCACACCAAGGTATAGGTTGGAAATGCTGTACTGCTTATTGTGACATTACTGCTGAGAAACTATGCAAAGCTTTCTCAGAAGGTGCAGTCTTACAAGTATTTTGTTGGTAACTGTGTTTGCTTAAATAGCCTTTCTTGCCCCTGAAGAGCTGATAGATTTGATTAACAAATAGTTATTAATGCAGATCAGGTCCCAAGTTTGGACTGCTGCAAATGGTTACAGGTGTGGAGGGTGGGAATGGGAGTAGACAGGAACTGATTGAGCCCTACTGAAAGGGGAAGATCATGACTGTTGAGAAATACTAGTTTGTCCAGGTAGCTTAAGAGGAAAGTGATCTTAATGCTGATCTTTTGCCTTTTTTGTGGGAAAGTATTGGTGAACTATTTTGAGCAAGTGTCGAGTATAGCTTATTCCTCTCATATTAACCACTCCCCTTAATGTATCTACATTTTAAAAATGCATCAGTCCGTACTTATAAATATCACTTTAAAATAGTCATTTTTATGGATAATTTATATAACTGTTCAGTTGCTCCAGGGGAAAAAAGTACATCCTTTCCAGGATGCTGCAAAGTAGCTGAGAAATGACGCTGAAGTAGCATGAGTCTTTATGCTACTGCTGCAGTTCCTGTCTTAAAATGACATTAGAAGAATTGTTTTGAGCTGCTGCATCTGCAGTGCAGCAAGGAAGGCTAGAGGTGAAAGGACAGAAAATCTATCATAGAAAACACTTTGGGGGGGGAAAAAAAAGTCAGATAGAGATGACAAAAGGTACATGGACTGAAACATAGCTCAAAACTTTTCTATTGATTATGTAAGGAATGGATCCTAAAAGATTTATCGTAAGTCTATGATGTATATCGTATATGGGAAAGTGTGTAAAGATGTCTGTATGCTTAAACAGAGGTGAGAAAATGGTATATTCCTGGTTTGCCTTGTAAAACAGGACTGAAGAATTCTATTCAGAAGGCTGAAGCTAGAGTTCAAGTTGTTTAAATTGCCTCAGTATTGGGTATATTTTCTGTTCTTGGGCATCTCCACTTTTATATAGGGAAAGTATTTAGGGAGGTCTAATCACATTAGTCATATGAGGTTTTGTGTGTGCTGAGCGTCTTCTCTAAAGACTTGCAGTGGAGCTTCATTGTTGTGAATGTTAATGTTTTAAATACTTCTCTATTATCTAAGCCCTCTAATGCATATAAAAGAGCAAAGTCTAGGAGTTGATTTAAACTATTCATGAATAATCAAAGAAAACTGTATTTAATACGTATGCTTGTTTTTTTGCAAGTGACATCTGGAAAACTTTTCTATGTATTGAAGGTAGTATTAACTGAAGGTGTCATGTTCAAAATTGGAGTATTTGTACCTAACCTTAAAGTCAACTGACTTTTTATTGTGTACATCTATTTTTTGCTTCCCTAACTTTTGATCTACATAGTGTTAATGACACTTTCTTTAACAGTGAACTACCTCTTATGAAATAAAGAAATGGATGGGATGGATGAAACATCTAAAAGAATCCTAGAGCCATACCAGTATTTACTTCAACTACCAGGCAAGTTTTGTTGTACTGTGTTGTTTTTAAATTTCAAAATAGTTTTTATAGCGACTTTTGTGTCGGGAAGTATAAGCCAAGAAGTTTATCCATTCTTGATTTGAGGATTTAAGAGTAATTAAAAGTAAAACTTTTCAGTATTTGTTCTTTTTTCCTCTTTGTAGAACCACCTTTTTGGTGAGATTGGTACAAAAGCTCTTGAGTCTCTCAGCAGTGTAAGTAGTATTTCAGTTACTCAGCTCTCCATTCAGGGTAGCTGACTTACTACTTTTTAAAACCGATAAGGGCAAATACTTGTAAACAAAGGCTTTGTGGGTTTTTGTTGTTATTTGATTTCTTTCCCTTGCCGCCTTCCTCTCCCTTGTCCCCATGCCTAGCACTACTGCATCATGTGTATTAACATATGAATGAAACAACCAGAGCTAATGCACTTAAGGTAATACCTATGTCTAGTTCTTGCCTGATTTATCTTTTTATAGAAAGTTACATTAATTAATGACTTACATAAATATGAATAATTAGTAAGGTAAGTGATTCTGCTCCAGCTTGATCCCGTTCTTAAAGAACAAAACATCATCAGCCCTCAGTTTATCTGCTTGCTGTGCTGGACTCAATGGATTGTGGTTTTGGTTTGGTTTGGGGGTTTTTGTGTTGTGTATGTGGTTTTTTTTAATAGCCTGCTGCTTTTGTATAATTTCTTCTCTCTGATGTGTAGAGCTGGGTATTCATATGGGCAACTTTGTCTGTGGATTGCCTCACTTGCCAGACAATCAACCAGTCCTTGTGTGGTATCAGGTCACTAGCAGCACATTAAGATGAAGTTTTCAGTCTAGAACAGTACCCATTTTAGCAGAATTCAGGAGGCGGTTTGGTGGAGAACTAGTGTATGGATATGCCTCTCGGAAGCCTCTTTGACTAAGCAGATTGTTTGCTGTGGCTTTTACGTGTACACCTAAAGTGTAAGGAAGACCATACAAGCTATCAAAGTGACTTAAGTTTGTAAAGGTAGTGGCAGAATGACTTTGTCACTGGGACTATTGCAGGATTGCCTTCTGTCCAGCTTATTGCATACTGGTGGAGTTAAGGAGGATACAAAATATTGTAGATATTAAAGAAAATAATTCTGACCAAAATTATATCTATCTACTGTCTAGGCAGTAGCATAATGAATCACAGGCACAGTACTAAGTGGCTTTTGTGCATCTGAAGGAAGACTTGTGTATCAGCAGGGTGGGTCTTAATTCATTATACCTTTGTATAATGAATTTCATTATTAATCTCTACAAATATCCAGGATTGTCTTGTCTACATTAGTGATTTTTTATTTGACTTGGCAGTTAGAACTACTTGAGCTGAAAAATAAGAAAAGGAAAGGATTTGGCAGTAACAAGCCTTTTTAATGCCAGAAAGCTTCTTTCCCATTTCCCCACAATATATTCCAGTTGGGTGTGCTGAACTGGGTGGTGGTTTTGCTAGAGAACTACCTTGAGAATGAGTCTATGATATTCCAGAGAGCCTTCTAGGAGCTGGTCCTGAAGAAAGTTACTTTCTTCCAAGACCATCTTTAAATGTGCTTTTTATTTTGTTAGCTTATCCCATATAACCAAGGCATATACTAACACCTTTGCATGTTTAGCTGCTAATTATTTTTAAGGTGTGTTAGATACCAGCAAAAAACCCCTCAGCTTCCTAGAAGGAAATACACAACAGACAAAAAGCACCAAAAAAAGCTTCGCTAGGCAAAAGTGCTTGACTAATACTTCTTCAGCTATCTTCCACTTTAAATGATGCATCTAGGATATACATTTAACCTTCCCACCTTGACTCCTGTGGCTAAATTCCTATACTTTGTTGTGACTGAGTTCAACCCTCATCATTCTATACTGATATATTATAATGTTATACTTATTGACAGTGCGAGCATTTTATAGCCTATCCTGCTAAAGTATCATAAATCTGATTGTCCACTTTAACATGTTGATCTCTTGTTGATTTAGTTTGTTTTGGAGAAGGTGAGAGACAAGGTACACTTCTTTCTATGCAGAAATGGTAGTGTGATTCAAAAGCGAAGACTTCTGTTATACTAGGCAGGTAAAAGTAACAGGTGAAGCAGTGAGGGTTCACAGTCAGGTAGCTGGATGTTTATGGGTTTTGAAACACTGTGGCTTTCCCCAAAGTCAGCTACGCCAAGCACAGATCAGTAGGAGCCAGATACTTGTGTGAACCTTGGAATCAGTATGAGCACCGGTGCTTGGTGAGTGGGCAAAAATTGGGTGCATGCTAGCTGTTCATAATTAGGGTGGAGCCCAAATGAGATGCCTGAGCTAATCTAACAAGCTCTTGCTGAAAGAGGCAGTTTCATTCCATCCTCTTTATGCTTCTGGCAGAATTTTCCTGTGTCTTAACTTCTGCCAGTTGTCAGCCTGATAATCAGATAATTAGGTAGTATCAATAAAATATGTACCTTTATGGCCCTACGGTAGTCCAGTTACTTACCTTTTAAGACTAGTTAAAAAACAAAGTCTTCAAATGGTTTAGTAACCAATGAGAACTTGAATGAATTTAGATACATATCAAACTTTGTTTACGTAAAAGGGGATTGTGTAATAGTATCAAGGTGGTTTGGAAAAAAATGTGCCTGCTAATATTGTCTGTAGTGTAAGAACACAAATTTTTATAACTGAGGATTAATCCCTCAATACAAGAAGTTGATTAGTCTGCTTCCCATTATTTAAATGGAACTTCTAATGGTAACAGTTTGGGAGTGATACTTAGTAAACTAAGTGTGTCTATTTCTTTGACTTCAATGGTGCTAGGACAGAGAAACAGCTAGGCTTAAGGTTTTTTTGCTATGTTGCTATTTTAACTGCTAGTGTGATAATTGATGCTTATTCCTTCACTAGCAGGATTTAGTGCTTGGGAGAAGGTATGCTCTAAACCAGTAACTTTTCCTGTAAAATCTCATTATAGTAGAACATTGCTATGCTAGTTTATGGTGGTGTTCTGCTTAATCTAGTATTCTGTCCTTTAGTCTTGTGAACAAAGTACAATAAACAGAATTAACTTTCACAAATTCCAATGTGGTTTGTCTCAAAAATGGCCTGATTCACACAGATGATGAATCTTTTATATCCAAGTGGCTGAGTTAACAGCAGTAGCTGTTTTTGCAGCACTGAGGAGTATATGGAGTTTCAGTTGCAGTAAAACTGATGTGGTCAACAGCTTACTATTGAAAGGGGTAGATTCTGATCCCATTCATGACTGTACATCTTTCTTTTCATGTGCATTGCTCTGATCTTGGCTGCAGTCTTTCCTGTGCTTGTTTAGCTTGCTAAACAATCAAGACTGGCTTTTGGTTTTCAGCTTTTTCTGCTGGGCTGTTGAACTTGACCAGCTTGGCGAAGGAGGTAAGCACCACAGGGCATGATCCCCACCACTGGCACATCAGAGGCCTTAACTTGTACCAGGTTCCTGAGGGAGGCTGTCCAGCTTCTGAGCTGCAGGGATGCCTGGGCCCCCACTGGGCCAGAAGAAAGTGATGTCCTTGCCCCTAAAAGCTGTGCAGTGGTGGAAAACGTTTGTCACTAAGCAAAGGAGCAGTTGAAGGGAGTCAGCAGGCTGCACAGCATCAGAAATAAAAAAAAAAGAGCAAGACCCTTCAGGTTCAAGAGCCTGAAACCCCCAAGTGTATTGAAGGAGGGGCCTGAACAACCTGCATGTCAGGTGGGGAAATGGATACTCCTGCAATGGTGAAGGAGGGGAGCTGATGGCTCCTAGCGCCAGGAGAAAGAGTCCTCTTCCTTGAGCAGATGTGCAAGTGCCAAGCAATTTCAGTGCACTGGAAGCTCTGTATACAACAAAGCATCAGACCAGCACCCGGTGACAGCAGGAAGTGATAGTAGTGGGGAGTGACTCCTGCAGGGGACAGAGGCTTCCATCTGAACTGCTGTCTTAAGGAGATTTGCTGCTTCTGGGTAGCTCTGATTAGGGATGTTAGGGAGGGACTGCCAAGCTGTGTTTCACCCTCAGACTAAACTTTGCAACTCTTCCACTTGAGCACTAGTGGATATAGCAAGGGGATGCCTGGAGCTTATCAAGCATGACTATGTGGCTTTTGGAATGAGGACCAAGGGCACAGGAAGACAGGTGGCTTTTCTCCATGATACTCAACGCTGTTCCTCTCACCATCAAGAGGAACAGACAGATCCTGCCTGTCAACAACTATTTAGTTGCACAGGTGACATTGATAGCAGAGATTTGGCTTTTATGACCATGGGACTCCCTTAATAGATCAAGGACTACCAAGAGGAGATAGCATCCACCTACCCAAGTCAGGGCAAAAGTGTCTTTTCCAACAGATTGAGCAACCTGGTGAGAAGGGACTTAAACTAGAAATTACAATAGAGGGGAATGACTTCACAACCAAGTGAACAGTGAATGTGCAAGCAAAGGGTGGAGGCTGATGTGGACAAGAGACACCTTGTAATCAACAGAGCAGAGCTGAGGCAGCCCATCCCAAGCATATGCACTCAAACAAGGAAGTATGAACAGAACAACATGATGGCAGAAGCTGTCACTTTTTGTGGGGAATCTGCAGGACTGAGTGCCTCTCTGAAGTGCCTCTACACAAATGCATACAGCATGGGGAATAAACAGGAGTTAGAGGCCTACATGCAGTTGCAGAGCTACAGTTTTATTGGGATATTTGATGTGGGATAGCTTGCACAGCTGGAGTGCTGCAATGGATGGATATGGACTGCCTAGGAAGGCAGTCTGGCATAGCAAGGAGCGGGACTTGCCTTTTATGTGAAAGAGCAGCTGAACTGTGTGGAGCTCTGCCTTCAGTCAGATAAGCCTGTTGAGAGCTTATGGGTTAAGATTAGAGGGCAGATCAATAGGGGTGACACTATAGTGAGTCTTTGCTATAGACCACCTGAGCAAGAAGTAGATGAGGCCTTTGGACAGTTGGAAGATGCCTCATATTTACAGGCACTGGTCCTCATGAGACTTCAGCTACCTCAGTATCTGGTAGAAAAAGCAACACAGCAGAGCACAGGCAGTCCAGGAGGCTTCTGGAGTGCATTGATGACTGCTGGCTAACACAGGTGATCAAGGAGCTGGTGAAGGCAGGCATTATGCTGGACCTCACACAGAAACAAGAAAGATTTGGTTAGGATGTGGAGACTGGGGCAACCTTGGCTGCAGTGACAATGGGATGATAGCATTCAGGATCCTGAGAAGAAGGAGCAAGGCAAAAATCAGGATCACAACCCTGGACTAGTTAGTTAACACTGTTTTGAACAAGGGAGTTAAGCTAGACAAGTTAACAGTGACCTTAATTTGTCAACATGGCCGCCCAGGTTTAAAAGTGTATAGGCCTGTTCTCTTTGGTTGTTTTCCTGCAGTGCACTTATACTTGTTGTAGTGTCTTGTAGGCTGTGTGGGGAGGTCTGCTTGGGGAATTTATCCATTTAGCCCTAATCCACGAGAGGACAGAGCTAAACATGTAAGCATACAATATAGTTGAGGTAATATAATAGCTTGCTTACTCCAAAGGGCAATGCCCCCTTCCCCTGGCTCTCAGCATCTGCTGCTTGCCCTGTACGAACTCTGGCAGACCTGCTTCATAAGCTGACTCAGTACATAAAGCTGGCAGAAAGCTAACCTAGTAAAAAGCAGACAGTTTTCTGCTGGGGTAATGAGTTGATTAGCTTAGTAAGGCTCTAATGAGGGCTAGGTTAATAGTCCCTCTGCTCTTTCCCATGCTGTCCTAGCCCTTTTATGTACCCTCACTGTAAGTGAGGTGCTACCTTAAGAGCATGGCTTGTGGTCAGTTCAATGCAATAAGAGAGAAGAAATACTAATCAGGAGCCTATCCATAGCTGGAAGTCTGTGGATTTTGGGTCTGTACCCTGTCACAAGAACAACTGTGTATATGGAGAGCAACTCAGGCTGACTTTTTTCTTTTTCCTCTAAAAGAGAAGCATCTCATCTGTCTGAAGAGGTGGGAGGGATTGTTGTCAGTACAACATCTTAAATCTAACTTGATCTTTGTTTCAAGGATAAGGATTTTACAGAATCCTTGTAGAAGGAATTTCATCAGAGTGAATCTGTTATGTTCTGAATATTTTTTCTTACCTTTTCCACCCAACATTACTAAGGAGAAAAGCTTCCCATTGTTGCTGTTTGGTTTGGGTAATATTGGATCTTAAGCAGATTAAACTGAATGCATTTAGCATAACTTTGATAAAAGCTTGGTACAGTAATGTCTGTTACAGCTCTACAGAGTGGGTAGAGCTGCTAATTTTGAAAGTTAGACCTCTATATTCTTCAGTTTTATAATAGCCTGTGTAGAATAATTAACAGAGCAGTGACATGTGACAGTGAAGAAACTGGATAATTCTGCTAGTGTTAAGTTTTACTCCTTTTAATTTTGTCCTAGTGTCCCTGGATTGTTGTCTTGTCTAGTTTGGAGGAGAGGTGCGGCAAGGAATGGAGGCTTCTGCATTGAGACCAGTATTAGAGGGGTTTGGTCTTTTGCCATCATAGCATGGTTGTAGGCATAAAATATGCATACAGAAAATTGCTGTAATAGCACATCGACTGGGTAGGATTGACTTCAGAATAAGATAACATTATTGTTACATAAATACTGTTTTCTTTTAAAGGGGCTCACACAAGCAAATCTGCACCTGTAAAAGGGAAGATGAATGTTTTGCTATAGTGAAGTGAAACCACAGATAGTGGCTTTTCCTTGAATAGTCAGTGTCTAGACAGCCTTGCTAGTCAAGGTAGATGGGTCTAATAATTCAGATGCTGTCTGTACTAAGGAACCGAAGTGGATAAATCCACTGTGCATGTTAATAATCCATTTAGAGTGTGTGCTACTAGTTATATTCCTCATGATAAAATAACACCTGTTGCTGAACATCCAGCATTCCAGAAGCATATTTTCTAGGAAACACATTCAGAAAAACAGAATTAGCTGCCTAATGTAAAAAAGTAGGTGTTGTATCAGTGTAATTCAGAAGTGAATAAACAGCTGTAGATAAGGTACACTTTCCTAATGTGATATTATCTCTGAGTAGTTTTCTTTATGGGTGTACTGAAATATTTGTTAATACTTAACTGGCAAGCCATACAGTTTGGCAGATGTTTGTAACAGTTACTCTCAATATTTTTGAGCAATCTTTTCTCCTCAGTTAACTCATGCAATTATTTTAAAATAAAATGCCCCCTGATGCATTTTGACCCTCCCTTGTGCAGTACTGGTGGTTAAAAGTGTAGAGAGTCAGATCAGGGAACCAATCTGGCTGAAATCTGATCTAACAACATGGGGAAAAGGGGAGAAGTCTGAGTGTTTGAAGTGTTTTAATCCTTAGTATCTGCAGGGTATGGTGTCAGAAGCGGGTCTAACTTGAATTAGTAGTGGTGCTTAGTTAACATAAGAGGTTTTTAAACTCTTGGGTACTACTCTAATTTTCTATTTAAATTTGAGCTCAAATTAGCTGTGTTAAAATAGTGAACTAAGTCAGCAAATTATTGTTTTAAATAAACAGTATTTTAAAAAAAATAATTTAGAACCAGCTATGTACTTTCCTGATAGAGGGCAAGCCTGGCATGGGGAGCTTAAAATATCTGTTCCCCTGTTTGAAAGACAAAATAATGGTTTCCCTCCTGCAGAACGCTATTAGTGTTTAAAACTGAGCATAGAAAACAAAAATGGAGAACACAAGCCAATAACAGTGTATGTCCAAGTAAGTGTGCCCTTTCACACAGGACAGAGCCAGAGGACAAAGCTGCTGGGGAAGAAAGTGCCTTTTTGTTAGTCTCTCCTAATGAAAACCAAAAGGTGGTGGTGATGGGAAGCAGTGAAAAATCTTTGAGAACTGAGACAAAAATTGAAGCCCTCTGAGCCAGAGAGGAAGGGTATCACCCTTGCTACAGACTCCAGACCACAAAGCTATTGCTTACCTGGTGGTGACTTAAAAAGCAAAAATCAACAGTCCAGTTTCTCCAGGGTATATAACTGCAAGTGAATCTACCAATTTTTATTATTCTGTTCTGTATGTGCTGGTCACACAGCAATAGTGAAGCCTTAGGGAGACATTCATAATGCTGAAATTTCTTCAGTGCTATGGGCAAGATAGCATCATCGACACAAGGACTAATATTGCAGAATCATAATGTCTCTCAGTAGATCTTGAGATGAGTAATATGGAACCCACTGCCTAGGTTGCACTGCTTTGAAGTTTATTTAGAACTTTCTCCAAAGGCCTTGTTGATGTGAGCTAGATATGCAGAGCTGTTTTTCTAAACCCATCCTGCAGTTACTCGAGGATCTTGTACATAGGTGAGCTTTTCAAAGTTCAGAGCAGCATTGTCTCAGTGTGGGTAGGGGGTGACTATTTCATATTGATCATCAGTAGACACTGAATAAATATTTTCACCTAACTCAGAATCACAGAAACACTAGGTTGGAAAGGACCTTCAAGATCATCAAGTCCAACCATTAATCCAGCGCCACCATGTCCCCTAGACCATGTCCTGAAGCGCCACATCCACACGTTTCTTGAACACTTCCAGAGATGGCGACTCCACCACCTCCCTGGGCAGCCTGTTCCAATACCTGACCACCCTCTCAGTGAAGAAATTTTTCCTAATATCCAATCTAAACCTCCCCTGGCGCAACTTGAAGCCATTTCCTCTTGTCCTATCACTAGTTACTTGGGAGAAGAGGCCAACACCCTCGTCGCCACAACCTCCTTTCAGGTAGTTGTAGAGAGCGATAAGGTCTCCCCTCAGCCTCCTCTTCTCCAGACTGAACAACTCCAGTTCCCTCAGCTGCTCCTTTATTTATTAAAGAAATTATTATTTCTTTAATAAATAAATTTATTAAAGCAATTTATTAAAGAAAGCTGACAATAATTTATAGACATACAGGTTAACTTCTGTCAAAATTAACTCCATGTAAAATGTATCTGGATTGAATATTAATGCTTATTTTAAGAATAAACTTGGGATTTTGATCTTGTATTTCGTTCCTATGAAACAGGGTGACTGCTTGGCTCCATCAAACTAGATTTCGTGAAAGCAGAACAAATCCTATTATTCGTAGGTAGGCTTTTCGGGTAGAAGATAAATGCCTGCATTCTTGGAAAGTTCTCTTGAGAATGTTATGTTCAGATTTTCAGTTAGAGATATTTAGTAAGTATGTCAAATGTCACTTTCCTGTTTTACAAATTGTCAGTAGGCAAGTGAAGAGTACTGCAGGAGAAAGACCTAAAAATGGAGAGAAATAGGTATTCAACAAATATCTGTATCTTCAGTTAATAATGAATTGTAATTGAATCTTCTTAATCTGTTACATGCACAAAACCAACATGGCTGGCAAACTAGGGCTTGTTTTCAGAAGTAGTAAGCTGACCTGTACAGGTTACCAACATACTCAGGACCACTTTACTAATTAAACTGCCAAAACTAAATACAGTAACCTGTAAATATGTGCTTTGCATATTACTCTGAAATGTTTAAAACTGAGGTTGCTGATAAATGTGGTGTTTATACAATGAGGAAACAAGCGACACACTATGATATATTCTGCTTTCAAGTGATCACACTGATCAGCTTGCTGGTCTCAAATCAGCTATAGTTGTTAAGAGAAACTGTTGTCCCTAACAATGAACATTATGTGATTTTTATTTTTTATTGTAAATGCCTATAACATTTTTATTGTAGGTAAGCAAGTGAGAACCAAACTGTCTCAGGCCTTTAATCACTGGCTGAATGTTCCAGAAGATAAAATACAGGTACTGGCTAATTATTTTTAAAGGGCTGTGACTTTTCTTCAAAGACTACTGATTACAGATTATTCTCTTACGTAGCATAAATGATCAGAAATCCAAAATGCACTAGTTTCTGAATATATTAAAGTAAACTTCCAGGAAAATTACTTCAGTGCAAAGCTTTAACTGTGATATAACACTAAAGAAATTACTTCCTTAATTGGTCTTATGTAGAACAGTTACTTCTTTCCAAGTGTGCTCAAATTTTTAAGCATTGTTACCCACCTAACATAACTTAGATATTAACACTGAGTTTGCAATGACTTATGAAAGAAGCTAGACAGTTACCTTGTAAACTACACAAATATAATGATTGAAAATTGTCCTAGTTTCACCTGGGCGAGAGTTAATTTTCCTCCTATAGTGCTGTGGTTTGGATTTAGCATGAGAATAATGGGATAACACACTGATGTTTTAGTCGTCGCTCAGCAGCATTTATACTAAGTCAAGGACTTTTCAGCTTCCCATGCTCTGCCAGTGAGGAGGTGCACAAGAAGCGGGGAGGAGGCACAGCCAGGACAGCTGACCCAAACTGGCCAAAAGGATATTCCCTACCATATAATGTTATGCTCAGTATATAAACTGGGGGGAGTTGGCTGTGGGGGCAGCGATTGCTGCTCAGGGACTGTCTGAGTGTCAGTGGATGGGTGGTAAGCAGTTGCATCACCTGTTTTTCCTGGGTTTTGTTTCTCTCTTGTTTTCCATTATTATTCTAATAGTGTTTAAAACATTAAACTGTTCTTATCTTGACCCACAACCTTTCTTACTTTTGCCCTCCTGTTTCTTTCACCTATCCCACTGGGGGAGGTAGGGTGAGTGAGCGGCTCTGTGGGGCTTGGTTACTAACTAGGGTTAAACTGTAACAAAAATAAAATCTTACAGTTTTGATACAAGAATGTCAAAGACAGCAGTTAAATCAACTTTATAGACGACTTTTTGTGCTGGACCTAAAACTGGTCACCTTATCACATAGTCTGGAGTCCTTATTCCCTAATAGAGTAGCCTAATAGTCTAGCATTAGACTAGGAATTCTCCTTTCCTTTTGCTTTTCTGTTGGACAAATCTGTGCAAGATGTATGTCTGTGTATTTAACACTGTGGCTTGTCAAATGAAAAATTACCCTCTTGGTTAGACAACAGTGTTGTCAAACTGCATATTGAGGGTGCAGAAGATTCTCTGTATCCAAGACAATGTAAGGAATTAAAATAACAAATTACACTTTTTAACTAGGGACCAGCTGGGTAAGTGTTTATTTCATTCATTTTAGGCAGAAGTACCTTTAGAGTTTGTGAAGGGGTCTTCTTTAGGGTGGCTTAAGAGTGACACTTCATAGTCTTCAAGTAGCAAAATGGTGTGATTTAAACAATGAACAAAGAGGCTGTATTCATCATCTAGTAACCTATTTTCCAACCTGTCTATATAACTTTTTAGTCAGATTTATTCTGGCTCCCAGCTAGATACTTCTTACCCTCTATGTGTTCAGCTATATATCCAAATAAAAGTAATAGTAACCTGTGTATTGTATGCATGGGTTTAGTCTAATATCAGAGATCAGAATTCAAACTGGAAGGAGCCTCTGGAAGTTACCCAGGACAATGCCCTGCTTAAAGCATGACTTGCTCCATAGCTACTTTAGGCTTCTGGGGGCCTTACTGAGTTTCTACATCCTCAGATTTTCAATTCTGCAGCTTCTCTGGGTTTGCTTTCCCAAGTGGAACCCCTTTCATGACAACAAACTCTTCTATTCTGCCTAATCGGGATTTCTTATGCTGCAGTCTGACTGTTGCCTCTTGACCTTTTGCTGAGCACCTGTGACAGTGGAGGTCCATCTTCTTCCATGTACTATAGTAAACTAAAGCTGCAGTGCCTCTGTGAACAGAAGTTACTAGTTCTACTTGTCACTTTTGGACTGATAATCATGTAACTGTTATTGAAAATTTAGACCACCTGTTCTGGTTATCTTCATGAAGAAAACTGGTGCTTTAATGTTTCCTTTACCACTTATGCTGTTTGCCGTAGAACTTTTAACATTTTTATTCTTCAGGTCTGTCATGGCTTAACCCCAGCTGGCAACTAAGCCCCACACAGCTGCTTGCTCACTCCCCCATGGTAGGATGGGGGAGAGAATCGAAAGTGTGAAAGTGAGAAAACTCATGGGTTGAGATAAAGACAGTTTAACAGGTAAAGCAAAAGCCGTGCATGCAGGCAAAGCAAAACAAGGAATTCATTCAGTGCTGCTCATTGGCAGGCAGGTGTTCAGCCATCTCTAGGAAAGCAGGGCTCCATCACACGTAATGGTTTCTTGGGAATACAGATGCCTTAATTCTGAACCCCCACCCCTTCCTTGTTCTTTGCCCTAGCTTTATATACCAAGCATGATATCATATGGTATGGAATATCCCTTTGGCCAGTTTGGGTCAGCTGTACTGGCTGTGTCCTATCCCAGCTTCCCGTGCACCCCCAGCCTTCATGTTGGTGGGGCAGCATGAGAAGCTGGCCAGTCCTTGATTGCTTAGCAACAACTGAAAACATCAGGATGTTATCAATATTTTCTCATCCCAAATCCAAAACATAGCCTTAGACTAGCTTCTATGAAGAAAATTAACTCTTTTCCCAGCTGAAACCAGGACAAGGTCATTTGAGGACAAAAACAAGACCCTGTTACCTTTTAATCTGCATCCTGCCACAATTATTAGTGCTTTTGTGCATACTTGTACTAATTTTAATAACTTAAAGTTGTTGAGGTCTGCAGGACCACCTGTAGTCATCTTTTTGATGTCTTTCATAATCTTAAGATGTCCCAGTTGTCTATCAGCCTGATTCCCTTCCAGCTATTTGTATTTCTTCTATTAATAATCTGAATTCTGGCACTCTTTATAGGACATTTTTTTACCTCAGATCATTTGTCTTCATGTAGTTTATTTAGATGAATAAGGTTGAGGATACCGTTCATTGGTAGTTGATTTTTACTGTTGGCTGCCACCATTTCACTTTTCCCAGCGAAGTGGTCACGTTTTTTCCCCACTTACTGCATCTCTAGTACTCACCTGATGCTGCACTGAGACACTTCAGCTTGTTGAATTAGAGAACAGTGGGTTTGTCAGATGAACTTTCTTCTGAGAAAGCACTGAAATGGCCTAGTACAGGGCCAAGCAAATTCTAAAGCTGTTGCAGGTAAGGAGATATAAATCTGTGTGTTGGAGTTATAGTGCTGCAGCTACTGATTAGATATGCTTTCTTACAACCTAAGCCTAACACTCAGGATTGGTTCTTCAGTTTTCATTATGAAAAGGAGTCTCTTCATTTCATCAGGCTACTTCCTGATGTCTTCTAAAACAAGCTTTTTCTGCTGTCTAAACTTTTTCACTCCTTACTTTCAACTTTGAGGCATTTTTGACACTGTATTTTCTTAAGTTCACAAGATAACTTAATTCAGACACACGAAGTCATGAAGCACTAGAAGCTGCAAAAGTTCATGAAACTGACAGCGATATGAAATAAGTTAGCAAGAGAAATGCTAGAATAGTCTTATCTGAGGAGTTCACAGAATACAGGGTAACCTTCCTGATAGTACTGAGAATGACATAATGGACTAAAAGAATATTCAGACAAATAGGTATGCGAAATTACTTTCAATAAGTACTCTATCCTCTGATTTAAAGTCAATGGGCAGCAACATATCTTCACAGGTCAAAGTAGGGCTCACTTCTAACTGGCAGATGAGTCATTAGGGCTTCCTAAGTAGGTTGTTCTTGCAGTTGCATCTTGCACAGACAATTAGCTTGCTGTGTTTTGGGTTTTAATCTTTGGGACAGTGGTCACTGAACACTAGGTGACTTGCTGCTCAAGAAAATGCTTGCAGCAAAATCCCTATTTACTTTTTTCCTACAGCACCCTCCAAATAGGACCATACTAGGTACTTGCAGCTATTTAATGGTGGCCTTAATATTTTTTAGAAGCAGTTGTTTTGATGAATGTTGACTGAGTGCAATGTTTGTAGCTAGCAAGTGTAATTGGTTCATTAGCTTTAAAATCATATCTTAATCAGACGTGTTTTGCAGTGAGGTTATACAGTATGCAGTCTTACATGCTTAAATTTATTTCCTTTTAAGCAGGTGCTGAATATACCTGTTCCTTGCGTAGCAGCTGTGCAATAACAAAAGTATATAGTGTTAAAACTCTTAATTTCTTGTTGAGTTGGAATTGAGCTTTGGAATTGTTACAGTTCCCTTTTAGTCAAATTTAGTTAGCTACAAGCTTGATGTTTGGAACAGCTTATTGCATACCTCAGGTGGTGTATGATTTTGGTAACAAGTAGTAAGTGTGTAGGAAGCTTCCCGAAAGAAGTTGTAGCTGTTGCCTTTCTGCCAAGAATTTTCCAAGTGATGTTTTGGAGAGAATAGTCTGTCCTTTAAGAGCTCAATACTGAAGATAACTACACAAAATGTGGGGAAAGACAGATGAACTCTCTCCACTTATCAAAACAAGATTTACAAGACAAATGTGTTAACAGATGACACCTGACACACTCAAGAACTGACCGTGGGAGATCTCAGGTTAGTGAATCTAAACTTGTCACATTGTGTTGCTTTGCTTTTCCTCTATCCTGTTTCTAATAATAGTTACAGCATGACTTCTAGCCAATGGCATATTTTAGAACTGTTGCAACAATGAAGAGGAGTATGCAAGTGGAAACACTCCAGGGAGTAAGTTCACTTTGAACACATTACACAAGACAGACCACATGATACAGGACTTGCAGCAAACTGGCTGATGAGGAGAATCGTAAATCTATATTAATATAGATTAAGTGAGTGGTCTAAAGGGGAACCTCAGTGGTAGATAATATTCTTTAAAACCTTATCCATTTTAAATAAGGTCTTGCAAAACTGGAGGTTAAATTACAATGGGAGACTTAATAATTTTTTTCTTCTTGTAATAGGTTATCATTGAAGTGACAGAGATGTTGCACAATGCAAGCCTGCTTGTGGATGATATTGAAGATAACTCAAAGCTACGACGGGGCTTTCCAGTGGCACACACTATCTATGGAATTCCATCTGTAATCAACTGTGCTAATTATGTGTATTTCCTTGGCTTAGAAAAGGTTTTAACCCTTGATCATCCAGATGCTGTTAAAGTTTTTACCCGTCAACTTCTGGAACTCCATAAAGGTCAAGGCTTGGATATTTACTGGAGGGATACTTACACCTGTCCTACGGAAGCTGAATATAAAGCTATGGTACTGCAAAAGACAGGTGGTCTCTTTGGATTAGCTGTAGGCCTCATGCAGCTCTTCTCAAATTATAAAAAAGACTTAAAGCCACTTCTTAACACACTTGGCCTCTTCTTCCAAATAAGAGATGACTATGCCAACTTGCACTCCAAAGAATATAGTGAAAACAAGAGTTTTTGTGAAGACTTAACTGAGGGCAAGTTCTCATTTCCAACAATTCATGCAATTTGGTCAAGACCTGAAAGTACTCAGGTGCAAAACATTTTACGTCAAAGGACAGAGAACATAGATATAAAAAAATACTGTGTACATTACCTTGAAAATGTGGGTTCCTTTGAGTACACTCGGAATACATTGAAAGAGCTCGAATCTGAAGCCTATAAACAAATTGAATCACTTGGGGGAAACCCTGAGCTTGTAGCACTAGTTGAACAGCTGAGCAAAATGTTCAAAGAAACTGAAAATTAAAAATTTAACTGCTCGGTGTGAATTAAAACACTTTTTTAAAATGGGAAAATAACCAGACTATCCAAGAGGTGTGATAATCAGTCTTGCTTAAAACTTTCTCTTGTAGCCATGTTACAGAAATTACTGTTTAAAAACAATTTGTCACTAAGTATTGAAATATACCCTACTGTCTATACAGTCTTAACTGCAACTGCTTGCAGATGGCTTTGTTAAAGCAGATGTACAAGAACTGAAACAAGCTTTGAACCTAAATGTGATCATCTTTATGCAGTCATCAGCATTATTTCAGGCCTAAAACTCTCATATTTAACCAGGCTACTGTAGGTTTCTAGCTGAAATTATGTGTTAAATTAAATCAGATTGACCTGAGTGTATTCTGTGTTTTCAAACAATGTCCTAGTCAACCAAAATGTACAATGTTAAATAGCAAAAGGAGATACTTGCACCCTCAATGCACTTAAAATTGTTGTGTGATATTTCTAAGTTAGACTTCTGAAGATCAGATGGATCAGCTTACTAAGTTCCAAAGTGAAAATCCTATGCAGCTTCTGGGGATATGTTCAGGAGAATGTGAATTCTGAAAGATAATATTTTATATGCAAATAAGACTAATGTTTAGTCTGAAATTGTAGCTTTATAAAGATTTCTAAGTACCTTAGAGAAAAGGTTCCATCACATCAACAAAGCATAAATTTGCTGCTGATTCCAGCTCTGCAGTGGGTAATTTTGATTGCCTGGCTTTAGATTTTTAAAATGTCAAATATTTTGTATGCATTAGAGCTCATATCTGTAACTGTAAATAGCAACATAGTAAATTGCTACTAGAAGTGGCATGGGATTCATATCAGCTAACTTTGGGACACTGTAGTTGGTGCAGGTCTCTTTAATCTCTGCTTATAATTGAAAGGGCCTTCTACAGGAGTTGATTCATAATTCATGCTGCATTCCTGTTCTGAATTGCTATCTGGAGGATGTTGCAGGTCTCTCCAAAGAGACAAGTTCTGTAATCTTTTGATAAAACAAAGTACAGCATCTTGTCCTACAAGCTAAAATACCACTTCAGTTTTGTTAATTGCTTAAATAGTGCTTTAAAATTACGTATACAGACACACTGAAACAGAACTGGAACTAAGAGCTAGATTGAGGGGGGAGGGCTGATCAGTGACAAAACTCTCTGCTCATCTATATATAAAGTGAACAAAATGTAAGCAGAGACATTTGTGTCATCCTGGCTGAGCTGGCTTTAATCAGGTTCAGTTCCCTTAGTCTTGATAGCCACATAAAGCTTTGCTTTGATGTAGGGAGGTAATGGTTTTGATCAAAGGTAAGACTGGTGCTGTCAGTGGTGTTAGCTCAAACATACTCTTAAAAGAAATGGCCAGAGGTACTTGCCTTCTGACAGCTGAAGGATACTTTTATGCAGGTGTTCATTTTACTGTACCTGAAAAACAGGGAGAGTCATGGTCTCAACCCACTGAGAAAACTATCTGCATGTGGCTGCTGTGATGTCTTCCCTGCACAGCCTTAAGATTCTTCTGGAAGTGGTCAAGCATGAAAAAATTCAGGATGACTGCTTTCAGTCAGAGACACTGTGTAGTTATGGACGATAGCCTATCCCTTTTATCTGTACGCTGAGGAGGAATCTTTGTTTGCTCTGTGATGAGGCGCAGAATAATAGGCTTTTCACTGAATGGACCTGGTCACCAGGACTGAATAGCTTAAAGCTGGTGAAAGGTGTCTTGTCTTCACTATTAGTGACAGTGAATTGTAATTCCCTTTTTATAACTTGCAGTGCTTAGTAGTAAGCCTGTAAATTTTTAATGTTTTATGAGAAAATACTATCTGCAGCAAAGTATAATGGTTATTTTGTGCCATGTCTTGGGACTTTCTAAGCACTGTTGCAGCTGACACTGAATGGGGAGGTAACACTGGAAAAATTACTGTGGTCGGGAGAATCTCCTAGTCTTATTGTAAAAGATATCTCAGTGCCTATTAGGGTATTATAACTAACATATACAATGCAAAGTACACTTAGTGGCATTTCATGTCTGCTCAGTTGCTGGATGTAAACAGTTTTGTGTAATCAAGCTTTCCTCATGAGGTAGCCTTTCTTTTTTTTGTGTAAAACTTCTCTACCATCTGAGACTTCTGCTGTGTCATCACTGCTTTGGTTCATTCTGGCAACTCATCCCAGTATTTATTTTAATACCATATTTTGTAGAACATGCCTTCATTAACTTTGGAGAAAGTATGTTGTAAGTTTTCCAGCTGCAGGCCCTTTTAAACCACAAATAGGTAGAAAGGGAAAAGTATCCTGGGAAAAGAAAGCTGGACCAACAAGAAGTTGTAAAGCTCTGTCTTACTCTTCTGCCTTCAAGGCTTTTGATACCAGTAGTCAAAGCATGCCCTGAAGGTATATTTTAAAAGGCCCAGAAGCAGAGTATCATTGCTTTTTACTTTGGTTAGGATAAACTGAGGCCTTTGAGAGTTTTTCTTGATATATTCAGGAGTTGGAAGAGGCTGGGATCTTTCCCCTTCCTCTGTTAATCAGGTAGAGCATGTTTATTGTCAGTAGTGATGAAGCTCCATAGTAAAGGTAGATTTTTATATTTGGTGCCATGAGACTGCACATCCTCATCAGTATTCTCTAATATTGGGTGTGGTATAAGCTCCAGGTGTTAAGCCATGTTAGGAAAAATCACCTCCTTAAAAAGCAGCATGAGAGTTACTGTGGCTGCAGAATTAGTTTAGTTGTTCAAGTGCTGTGCTCTGCTGTGCCTCCCACAACACAGGCAGTAGGGTCTTTTCCTGAACTTCACAAGAGGTGCATTGCTGTGGAATGGAAGTCAGACTTGCAAGTGGAAATGCCCATGGGGAAATAAGGGGGGTGCTGGTTTCAGTGTCAGTCCCTTTCAGCCAGAACTCTTCCCCTTACCTTCCTAACATTGCCAACAAGTTCTACTTTGATCAGGTTCCCGGCGCATTTCTTGGGGCTTTAGCTCTTGCAGTGTGTGTAAAGAGAAATGCAAATACTTGGCAGTCTCCAGCATTTCCCCCTACCTCAGTCTGTTTTCTGATTGTGTGCTTGCTTGGATGTATGTAGATGCTGGATGTAAATGAATGCTGTCGCCTGTCTTTGAGTGGCCAGCCAATGGATGGGACCTCTCTGCGCCTTCAAAGGCTGATGTTCTCCCCATCAATTACAGTGAAAACTGCATCATTGCAGGACCTTCCTGAGGAGATAGCTTGTCTTCCACTTCTCCCTTTGAGCTCAGGCTGTTCAGGAACCCACTAAGAGCAACTTTGTATGTATCAGCCAGTCGTTGATACAAACAGCCTAAAAATGTTCATGGCGGTGGGAAAGTAGCTGTTGGTATTTCTTTATGCCTTCAACTTTATGGTTGATTTTGCTAATTATTAAATATCTAAATGCCTCCATGTGGTATGGAAATTTCCTGTATTAATGGCTGCTTTCTCCAGTTACTGTTAAAATGCTAACATGGTATAAAAACATGGGATTTGTGGGTGTGTTTTTCTACCTTCTTACATAAAACTGGTGTGAACTCTAATATGTCTTTAGCACCAAATTGGGCCAGGCAATTCATGTGCAAGAGCTACATAGGCATGTGTTGCTCTTCTCTGTTGTCTTAATCTTAACATTTTACGTTTCAGGATTGATATTTACTATGTTCTTTGTGTTATTTGCTCAGTACTTTCATTGTAATTCTTTTCTCAGCTATGTTTCTATTCTGATACTAATGCCACAGCATACACAATACCATCAAACTCCTTTTTGATCCTGGACAAACAAAATGGTCTGAGTCTGCTTTTGAAATGTTAAATCTTGGCTCATTGTATGCCTTAACAAAAGTAATCCAAGATTTTCTGCAATCTTGAAATGCCAGAAACTTGTCTTCCAAGAAGCTAAAGCCTGTAACATATTTTATATTGCCATAAATTATTTTTGTCCCATTATAGCTTGAGCTCCTTCTCCTACCCGTTTGGTTCAACACCTATTTTGCTTTGATGGTAATGCTAGTTAGGCCTTTCTGTGAAACAACTCACTACCTTATGGGGAGAGGAGTTAAGTTTTGTCTGGGTTAACCCACTCAGCAAGAGCCTGATGAATGTCAGAGCTGGCAGGCAGACAGAGGCAAGAGCAGAGCCAGGGAAAAGATTTGAGAGAATAAGAAAACGCATTTTAGGCTCCTGAGGCTGCCTTGTTTTAAAGTATCTCCTTCACTTTGTTAGGAAAGGCTCAAGAGTGTGGTTAGTTTCCCTGAGCTTCCCTTATTGCTTTCCAGATAGAATGTAAGAGACATTCAAGTTCAAAATTACTTATTCTGATAGTTACATAACTTACATACAGTATCTTAAGGTTTTGATTAAAGGTACAGATAAAACAGAGTATATTGTTTCATTACTGTATTTTTCTTTCTCTAACAATTTTTATATTCTTGAAGCCAGGGAAGCACAATCTGTTATGTCCCTACTTAACTTGATTGTTATCTCATATGAACATTCTTTCTGAATAACTTTTATCATAGCTGAGCACTAGTGTTCACCGTTTCTGCAGCCTTTGGTTTTTTTTAATTACTTTAGAAGGCACCTTTGCAAGGTGTGGATAGGAATAATCCACAATTCATTTCCATTCAAGCATATAATCTGCAAAATTTATAGTAAAGATGCAGGTTAAACCGCATGAATTCTGATAGCGTTCCTCTCCTATGTGCCCTGTGGAACAAATAAGTTCTCACCTAGCTCAGGGAAAGGTATTTATTGAGCATCTCAGTTTACTACAGCAGAGAACCATGGGAGATACCCAAAGAAGGCCTAACCTGACACTTCCAGGGAGAGCACTGCAAAACCTGACATGAATTTTTGTGGAAGACTAACTCTGACATGAAGGGAAATCATAGATCATTTTCTGCTTTTGAACTCTAGAATGATCTGTGAAAATACTTTCTATTCTGATATGTGATTTTATATGCTGTTGGTAAGCAGTTGCATCTCGATCACAGTAGATTATTTTCACTCTCTTCATAATGTTTCAGTTGTTATTTCTGGAGCATATAGTCTTAAGTTCCTTAAACACTCAGTAAAGTAATTATTGAAGTCTGTAAAAAGGAAAAATGGCAAGTGCGTATGTTTTGGCTATGCTGTTTTGAAATACACATAACTGGCCTGTTCGCTTGCTGTGATCTAGTATATGTTACTCTGTAGTGAACGTAGTTAGCTTAGGCAGGCATAACAACTTTTCAGCAACTTAAGTTATTAAAATCAGGCTGACACGAAGGCCATGTGAACAAATTAGAAGGAAAATGCAAGTGTTTGCAAGGAAAAACCATAACATTCTTTAAAAATAGAATTTCAGATAATTGAAGAGTTAATACATGAAGCATGGA